AGGGCTTGCACCACTGCATCCAGCAGTCGGCTCCCGACTCTGGCGAGTGCAGGCGAGGAATCCACCCGGCCGCCGACATCGTGACTCCGTCGTAGAAGGCCGCCTCTGGCCCATCTGGGTCAATGGGCTCGGGAGGCGGCAGCCCCATCGCGCCTGGGCCTGACCCAGGCGGGCCGCCTCGCGCCGCTGGACCCGGCTGATCAGCAGCGACGCCCTTGTACAGGGAGCTGGCCCCCTCAGGCCGATTTCGTGGCCGGAGGGGGCGGCGGGCGACAGTTTCTGGCTGCGCGCTGCTTGAGGAGGAGGAGGAGGAGGAGGAGGAGGAGGAGGAGGAGGCGACCTCGCGCTCCGCGCCTGGCGATGCGTGCGGTGACCTTCGCGCCCCCTCGCCGCCCCCTCTGGAGTAATAGAGAGCAGCTCGCCGGCCCGCGCGGTTGGGCACGCACCGCAGTTGCGTGGGCGCCCCTGCGGGTGACCCACGTGTATCAGGGGCGTCCAAGAGGAGGGGGCGCAAATCATGGCCGGCGGCATGTGCGCGGCCCGGTGGGGGGCCGGGGACGTAATGAAATGAGAAGCGGCGCCATGACATCTGAGGAGATCTCGTGGAACCCGCCATGATATCCCTCTCCCTAGTCATCATCCCCCTCTTGTCCGCCCCCGAGTGTATGTGGCACTGTGGACCAACCGGCGGAGGGTTCGCCTGTTGCTTCAAGTCGGGCATGTCCCTCTACAGGAGGAATATTCGAGAACAATCAAAGAATAGCCTGGGCACGTTTTTTCGTGCTCCTTTGACTCTGTTCGAATAATGTTTTCATGTTTCATCGAATAACAGCGCGGGTGTCCCCGTCGCGACAGACGAGCGTGCAGAGACGTTCGCAGAACATCTCAACACGATCCACTGGCATGTGCGACACGTCACTCTTACGCCGAATACGGAGGACGTTATACACCCTCGCTTGGATATCAATTTAGGCATGTTCACAGATGCGGAGCTCCGGAAAGCTTTGCAACGCATGCGTTCTGGGAAAGCTTGCAAACCTGAAGACATCCCAGCAGAGGTGTACAAGGCGCTGGCCGACGAGCCTGGGCAATTGCAGTGGCTGTTAGACATATGTAACGAAGCGTGGAACAGCAAGGAACTCCCACATTCATGGTGCGCTTCAAAAGTATGCCTGCTATACAAGAAGGGGGACCCTGCCAATTGCGACAACTATCGCCCTTTATCTTTGCAGTGCGTCGCAATGAAAGTCTTCTCCGCGATGTTGAAGGCAAGGCTGCTGGACGCTGGCATCGACGACAGGTTGTGGCGAACCCAATTTGGCTTCCAGGCTGGGTGCAGTACGGAACACGCCATTTACGCAGCGAGGCGCAACATAGAACTGGCGAGGGCGAAGAAAAATGGCTCTGTTACTCTCGTCGCCCTGGACTGGAAGAAAGCGTTCGACAGCATCCACATTGACAGCTTGCTGGACGCGCTCAGGAGGCTAGGGATCCCAGAAGAGTTTCTGGCAATGATACGCGTGATGATGACTGAGAGGCTGTTTGTCGTCAGCGAATGCGGTAGCGATTCTGCTCCGAGGCCGCAGCTGTCCGGCATCTCTCAAGGGTGCACGCTCAGCCCACTTCTGTTTATCCTCGTAATGACAGTGTTACTTCACGACGCTGTCGGCCTCTTGGAAGGTGGAGCGAAGGATGCTTACGCGAAGGGGGACTTGTGCGAGTGCGTCTACGCGGACGACACCTTGCTTATTGGGACAAACGACGCATCCTTGAATGAGTACTTGAAAGCAATTTCTGACGCGGGTCGCAGGTACGGCATGGAGCTGCACTGGGACAAGTTCCAGGTCCTTGCCGTGGGGGCGAAAGGAGACGTTTGTGCACCCGATGGCACGGCGCTCAAGCAAGTCAAGCAGCTTCAGTACTTAGGTGCGCATCTGTCAGCCGACGCAGACGCAGGGCCTGAACTGGGGCGCAAGATCGGCGAAGCTAAAAGGGTGTTTTCGTCGCTCAGTAAACTGTGGTCCCATTCCTCTCTGACTTGGAGACGCAAGTTACGCATTTTCTCTTCAGTGGTGGAATCGAAATTGCTTTACGGGCTCGCTGGGGCATGCTTGAACAAAGCCCAAACACGGCGTCTGGACGGCTTCCAGAACAGGTGCCTCAGAAAGATCATTGGCATCAAGCCGTCATGGTTGTCCAGAGTACCAAACGCAGAAATGCTGAGGCTTGCGCAGCACACGGGTGCCAGTACCCTGCTACTATACCGGCAGATGCTTCTGTTCGGCGACGTGCTGCGCTCAAGTGAGAACAGCTTGCTTCGCCGCACCACGTTCGCGCCAAACTCTTTCACGCCGGCGACTGCTGCCAGAGTGAGGCGCAGAGGCGCGCCGAGCAGTGAGTTCGTTCCCATCATGTTGAAGCAATCCTTAGGAATTTTCGGCAGTGTTCACGCGACGGTAGACGCAGCGCAGTCCGTATCGGGCTGGAAGCGCACGCTGCG